TATTAAATCATATTGACTGGACCATGCATCTGTGCAGAGCCAACACTCAGGTGATGTATGTTTCCGTTTTAATTTAAAGGGCCAGTGCGCGCGGTGTCTCGCTGCTGCGTGTGTATTCATTGGTTGATTAGAAATGACACAACACGTGGCGTTCGACGGGAGCTCGACTGCTTCATCGCTGTGTTCTGGATAAAAAAAAACCCACTGTTGTGGTCCATCACTGGAGCCTTTTCTCTTAAATCGCCGTTTAACTCACTTCCCTCTGTGACGGTTAATCTCACGAGCTAAATTATTCACCCGGTGATGTTGTTTTATTTCCCCGTCAGTGTTCACATCGGTTGGTACAAAAAAGTGAATGTCAGCGAGAGGAGATTTTTATTTTTTTTATCTCTCTGTGTCCATGTCCTGCTGTCTGTTCGACATTATTGAACTTTTTTTTTCCAGACTCCAGTGTCTTAGTGACACTTTTAAAATATTAAGTCAAATTCTGCCAGATCTGCCTGTAGTTAAGAATCAATTATAATGTAGAATATTCTAAATCCAGAATTTCACCCTCAGTTTTATCCTGCTACAGAGAACAAGTCCGTTACACCCAGATTGGTAATTTAGAATATAATTTGCATAAATCACACATAGTCCCGTCTTTTTTCCCGGCCCTCATCCTCTTGTTCACACAATTATCTAAATGACAAAAATGTAAATGAGCTTCCAACCTTTTTTAAAATATGGAGCACACTAAAGTGCAGAGAAAAGACCGAGATCACCGTGATTTATTCAGGCTTAAAGACGCCACATGTACCGTCCAGACCCCTCTCGCTCCCCCACCTCCTCCCCCCTCTCCCCCACCCTCACAGTACAGCACTTTAAGCTAACAGCTTGACCGTCAGTTTGGCCTTCGCATGTCATAAAAACCCCAGAAATGTGCAAGATGCAGAAACGCACCTGGTCTTGGACTCCCCCGCGGTGACATCTACACACACTCTCTCACACACTCTCTCACACACACACACACACACATACATACACACAGTGCAGCATATATGTTCATACACATGCAGTGATGGGGATATAGGTTGCCAGGTCAGCTAATGCAGCATCCTCCTCCTCCTCCCTATGGATTATGGACAGTAAGATGATTGACGGTCCTGCTCCACCTGTCCTGCTTCACTATGGGGGTGTACGGCTTTTAGCTGCACGTTTACTCACCTGGGGACAGGACAGTGTGTGCGTGTGTTTGTGATTGTGTCCTTGATGTAAGGAGGCGTTTGCCCTCTCAGACACAGCGGGGACTCGTGTGCCCTAAGGACTTGAGCAAAACACTAAACAATACCATGCATGGCAGCCACTCTGCTCCTGCTGTGATGGAGGTGATGAAGGAGTGAAAGAGGAGGAGGAGGAGAGAGTGAACACAGTTGGAAGAGTTTGAGTTTAAGGTTTCCCAAAAAAATCTTGTCTTTCCCCCACAGGAGGTTTCAGCAGAAGAACAGGAGGTCCAAGAGTTCTACGTTTTCCGACCTGTTACCATTTACAGTTAGTTATAGTGTGATTCACACTAATCAGGAAACCGTTGTGTCAGAAAGTGACGCTAAGTTAGGGGCATCTAGTAAAGGCTGGGTCTTCACAGGAAAGATGATTTGAGGCTGAAGAAACCATGTTTCTGTTGCTGTAATCCTGATTTATTGTGTCTGGGTTTTTCCCGTCTTCACACTCATTTGTGACTTTTTAAATAAAGACACGAACAAAGACGACTGATGTCAAAGAGCGTAAACAATTGTGTTCGGAAGTGACAGTGACGCACAATAGCATTAAGCGTTAAATAATGTCACTTCAGTGATTATTGCTCGGAAGCTTTTAGGCCTTTGCTGTTTTTCTTTGCAGACGATTACTGACTTTAACGACGAGCACCACCGTGCATTTATAAACACGACAAAAGTCGAGACTCCACGGCAGATGTGAACACGGAGCGGTGGACGTATGTGGACGTCGTGTGCATGAATGAGCACATTGTTGCCGCACTCGTCTGCGAGACTGAATGAGTCGGTTTTATCTGCATCATAACTCTTGAACTTTGGTGTCATGACTGTCACGTGGAGGGAAACGAATTTAAGTGAATGATACTGTTTCATGAGCTGTTTTATGGCCGGCTTTTCAAGTGATTAATCTCCAGCCTGTGGACCGACTGTACGGAGAGGTAAATGTTCGACTTTGCTTTTTGACGAGAGCAGCATATCAGGAGGTCGTCTGCATATACGGATAACTGTACGAAGCCAGAATGAATCTGGACTCCTTAGAAGAGGAATATTGAAAGAGTACAGTATGGATGAAGGCCCACGGGAACGACTTGTTGTCCCTGACTTTCATTGTCCTCCTCAACACCCGTGTCATACAGTTGTGCTGTGGCCCAGCGGAGAAGAGAGTCGGACACTCTTCATCCTGTGAGGATGTGAAAGAGTCATCACTTTTGTGCCAAACACACACACACACATTAATTTTCCTTTTGTTTTGAAGACTAATTTTGATTTTCCTTTTTTTATAAAAAATCTCATATAAACAATTTCAGAAACTCTACCAGTTCTGCTGGAGTTGATGTTCTCAGGTCACGTATGGAGACTTCCTTTAAACCATGTGATCTAATGTCGGACGTTCTGAGGAAGATTTCAAAAATCTCTCCACGTGCTCGTCTCCTTTCTCCCATCCTTTTCTCTCCTCTCCTCCCTTCCCTTCCCCCTTTTTACATTGTGCATCTCGTTCCTCCCTCATCTTTTTTCCACTCCACTCCTGCTGCCCCCACCCCCGAGCCATGACCCTCCTCCTCCTCTTCACCGAAACCTCCCGACCACTCCCCCCCTCCTCCTCTCACCCCCCTCCTGACCTCTTTCCTTCTGCCTGGCTGTACCTCTCTCTCTCTCTCTCCACAGTACATTGCCCTCAGTGCCGCTCTACCCATATCTGCCTCTTGCTCATGCAGTGGTTTGGGATCTACCCCTCCCTCCACCCCTCCATCTCCCTTCCTCTTTGAACGTACGGCACAGTCGATAGCATCTTCGACTCTCTGACTCTCTCCCCCACTCTGTCCATCTATATCTATCCATCTTTTTATCTATTGATCCGTCTTTCTCTCTGTGTATGCCTGTCTGTCACTTTATTGTCCACATCTGGTCAAAAAATGAAAATATTCTCTTTATTTTCACGCCTACCGATCTAATCACTCGCTGTGTTCATCTTTTGACCCTGGTTAAATCCTTAAAAACCTGGATATAACCAGGTTAAGACGTGGAGAAGGTGTCGTGGTCTTCTCCTCCCGGTGCTTCAGTGACAGGCTGTAGTATATGTGTTTGGCCGGGACAGAGTGCTGTAGTCTCTCCAGAACAATAAAATCTAACAGGCGCAGGCAGACGGGCATCCATCCATCCTGTACGCCAGCCAGCTCGGCACACACCATTTATTCCATGATCACTTATTTAGTATCCTGTCTGCCTTAAAAGAGATACAGACAGTGGGGAAGAGGAAGAAGCTGCTTCACCAATAAATACTGAGGCGATTAACACCAGCGCTATATTATCATTAGATTTAGTGTCATTAGAGTTAACTGTCTTACGGCTAACGTTAGCCACTGTGGAACAACAACCCCAGTACTGTGTACAGTATTAGCAGAGTTAGCTAGCTGAGTTTGTTTATCTGATGAAGACAAACTTCACGATCAAACGTAGGATTTCAGTTTATAATTTCATACACGAAGACTAAAAATGATCCACGAAGACGCTAATCTGTCACAACGCTGCTCTGAACGTTGTATGTGACTTGGGGTAATATACGTTAAAATCCAAGAAAAAAAAAATATCTGAATTCTGAAAAAAATAAATTAATAATAAGATTTGGTCACAAAATTGTCATGTTGTTGTCACAGACCAGCCACGATCAGATCAGTCCTTGTTGATTCATCATCTCAGAGGTGCTGTCACATCACCATGACCTTTGACCTTTTGCACAGACACTGTATAAAAAGCCGACGCTGAAGTTTCCTATTGCACAGACACTGTATAAAAAGCCGACTAAGTTTCCTGGCCGCATTTCTCAACCTGAAGCCGAAACAAAAGCAGGAAGTTTGTCTCACCAATCAAATCATCAGAGTGCAGATCACTGGAGTTTGTTTCTATTTTTTGAGTAAAAACATTTAAGGAAACATTTAAGTCAACATGAAAAACAATGGATTAAAAACCACAGAGTAAACTTTAAGAAGTTTTTCTGAAGGGTTGTCGGCTTACAGCCGATGTGGAAGTATAATGCAAGATGATAGAGATTTATGAGGAAACTGTGCCCTCTGCTGGACATTCTTTTAATGTTTAACGATGATTCGGGAACACGTTATTGGGAGTTTTGTAAAGAGATAATTAGAAGGTTTTTTTATAATCCGGATTTGATTTTATAAATTGTGTTTTTGTATAATAATCACAAAATGTAGTTTGGTTTATATACTTCATACATAATGATGTAGTATTTTAAAGAAATAAATATTAAATTCTATTGAATTTGAATATTATGACAACTGTTATGAAACGTAAAGCTGTGAAACTATAGCTTTTATTTCAGTTCCAGTGTTGTAGTTCTGTCCTATTTTTATTATTATTGATTATATATTGATGGCAGTTATTGATCAGTTATCTCACAACGTTCACATTGTTTTAGACCAGCAGTTGTTCCAGAACAACAACTGTGTCTGTACTCGTCTGTCACATGCAGACGATTGAGGGCCATGATGTTGGAAATGTTCTTTTATGACCAGAATAACTTTGTTTACATTTTCATGGGCAGAATGGAACCTGATGAAGTCACGTGACCTCATACAGTAATAACAGAGAACAGACCTATGGTGACGACCGTGACCACAGGCTGTGTTATCCTCCTGTTGACTGAATGAAAACATGAACACGTGAAGTTTGTCCATTATTTACTGACTCTCAGGTTGAACTCTTCCTCTTCTTCCTCTTCTTCCTCTCCAGATGATTCATCATCAGAGAGCGGCAGTGGCAATGGCCTGCCTGCGTTGACCCCTCCCTCCTCCGCCGTGACGGATGGCGCCATCGTCAGAGAAACCAAGGTCTTCAATGGCAACGGCGCCCCCATTCCGCTCGACTTCAGCACGCCCACTTCTTCATCCTCGTCGTCAGAGGACCAGCAGCCGATGAACCTGAGCGACCCCCTCCCTCAGCGTCTGCCGCTGCCCACCACTCACCTGCCCGTCACTGTGTCCGCAGCAGCCGCCGCTCTGCTCGGAGCTCTGCACCCCAACGCGCCGGAGGAGCTCCGCAGGAAGTACCCGCTGGCGGCCAAACCCCCCCTGGCTCCACACCCAGCCCTGCCACTGCCACACACACACACTGCTCACACACACAATGCACACACTCCAAACACACACTCCCACACAAACTCCACGGAGCTGCGGTTGGACCGAGACAGCAGGGACTACGGGGGGAAGGTGAGAACACACACACACACACACACAAACACACACACGAACATACACACAATCTTTTATTTGTCCCTTCCTTCTTCTCTTCTTTCTCTCTATCTTCCCTTCTCCTCTTCCTCTCTTTTCTCCTCTCCATCGTTTCTTTCCTTATTATTATCTGTTCTGGCTTTTCATTATTATTTGAACTGAAGTTCATTCACTCACATGTGTTTATTCTACTCTTCTTTTCGTATGTGCTCTGACACATACATTTATTCTGTATGAATTCACCACCTGACGTTGGGTTAATACCCAAAAGCAGAGCTTCAATTTTCAGCAGCTAATTTGGGTGAAATTGATGAGAGAATTAAATGGACATTTTAATAACGGCAGTGGGAGAAATCCCTTAGACATGCATATTTAATGAAGGGCAGCCGTATACAATATGTATATCCTCAGCCCACAATGTGCATATGAAGTGTTACTGTAAACTGATGGTAAAGTATTTCACAGAAGTGCAGCCGCTGCTTCTTTTTTAATTAAAAACATTGTTTATCATATAGGAGCCTTTTCAAAAAAATGTCTTCCCCCAGTTTATCATCCCACCACTCTGCTGCTCGCCAAATAAATACAGAAATGTACATGTATGTAATAATATTAGAATGTAAAATATATATTGTTTAGATGACACAAAAGTACCGCAACCCTCAGTTTTGTGACCTCTGTTACATGTACATTCTTTGTGTAACTGCTTCAAATATCAGCGTCAGTGCAGCAATGAGATACTGTTTGTGTAACTGCTTCAAATATCAGCGTCGGTGCAGCAATGAGATACTGTATGTTTTCACTGATCATTCATGAAAGTACTGCGTGTACTGTGTGTGTGTAGTCTCCTCAGTACAGCTCCGGTGGCAGCTACGACAGCACGAAGATGGACCTGGGTGCCGAGGACCTGACCACGGGGCGTCAGGTGGGCCCTGACGACGATGACGACGACCATGACGACCACGATGACAATGACAAGATCAACGACACGGAGGGAGTGGACCCCGAGAGACTAAAGGCCTTCAACGTAAGACGGGAACACGGGGTCGGGTCAGATCGTGTCCAACACCGTGGGCGTGGTTGTTGGCCAACACTTTATGTGACTTCATATTAGTGTCTGCCTCTGATATTAAATAGAAGGAGCGTGGTCCACAAACAGCATTAGCATCATCTTCACACATTTTGTCTCCCACAGATGTTTGTGCGTCTGTTCGTGGACGAGAACCTGGACCGGATGGTGCCGATCTCCAAACAGCCTAAGGAAAAGATCCAGGCCATTATTGAGTCCTGCAGCAGACAGTTCCCAGAATTCCAGGAACGCGCTCGTAAGCGTATCCGTACCTACCTCAAATCCTGCCGACGCATGAAGAAGAATGGCATGGAGGTACGGTATCACGTGTATGGTGTTGTTTACGTGCAGTACCATTGGTTGTTTGCAGTCTGGTTGATCAGCCACAAGTCCAGTGAACCAATATTACCCACAATGCAATCTGGCTTTTGCCTTTTCTGCTGCTAATCAGGTCATTCTAATGGGAATCACAAAGACGGGGACTTTGATTTTTTCACTTCATGAATCATACATTGAATTAACGGTGACGTCACTAAAAAGATCGTTACAGTTGTCACTCATTAGAGTAGAAAAGCGCAGTCCAGTGTTGGATTGTAACGATAGAATTCACATCATGGGTGGAACCGGGGCATGTCAATGAGTCACTGCTGCCCCCCGGTGGTGAAAAATGCTATCACTGCATTTCCATCCCCATCTGAGATGCGTTATATTTTAACTGGAGTTGATAAAACGAAGTCTTTATTAAACTGGAGGCAGAAACCAGTGCTGCATATTTAAAGGAAGTTTATGTCAGCCTCAGTGAGTAAGTGTTTGAGCTCTAGAGTTTTTTTTTGCACGATTATTAGTTCATTTTTGCCATGATGTCAAAACAAATTGGATGACTACATTATATTATTTTTAAGTCAGAAATCCTGGGTTTTGTGGATACATGTAGGAACTGTAATGTTTTTAATGAATTCCCATAATGCCCTTGTTGTCTGCAGACCCGTCCAACTCCACCTCACCTCACCTCAGCCATGGCTGAGAACATTCTGGCCGCTGCCTGTGAGAACGAATCACGCAACGCTGCAAAGAGGATGCGCCTGGAAGCCTATCATGTCAGTGTGTCATACAGTAACGAAATATGTACAACGTCAGTCGTTCTAACTCCAAACGAAATGTTTTCTTCTACTTTTGTAAATTATTTTTATATTATGTCACCACAATATAAAAAAATTAAATGAATGTACAGGTGTTATGATGTCATATCCTGTTTGTTGTGACTCATTCCCTGTTTGTCTCATCCCAGGATGAGCAGATCTCATTGGACAAGTCGTCCAGCGGTGGAGGAGGTGTGAGGGAGCCGGCGTCCCTCGCCCACTCCGCCTACTCCCTGGCCACATCTGCCTTCTCCTCCCAGGACGCCCAGCTCTACATTAACGGTGCTGGCTTAAGCTATGGTTTCCGTGGATACCCGGGCCTGGGCGCTGCCATGCAACACCCCATCTCCCTGACGACCGGCACTGCTGCACAGACTAATGGTAGGAACAGCAGAGGGTGTTTTAGGTTTAGTTAACTTTTAACGTTTGTATTTTCTGCAAATCTCTAGCAACCTGGCTGGCCACAGTAGATGGAGCATTCATATGAAATAAAATAAATGACATGCTAAAATCATAAAGGCTTCAAGCCTTTTCTACACCATCTATGGAGAAATGCTGGCATTGCAGGGAAAAGGCAAAAGTATAACGATAAAATCAGAAATTAATAACATAATTTGGACAAGTTTGGCGAGCCGGATTAAAAAGCCAAACGGGCCACATCTCCTGTACTGATGCCTTCACTGCTCTGATAACGTCTTCTCCTCTCTGTGCGTCTCCTTCAGGACCCACCGACCTCAGCATGAAGTCTCTCTCCTCTGCCAACATTAGCAACTCCTGCTCATCCACCGCCGCCAACAGCCTCGGCGGACGAGGCAGTGGAGGCGGTGGAGGGGGCGGGTCCTCGACCCAGCTCAGCCAACCGGAGATCACAGCTGTGCGTCAGCTGATCGCCGGCTACCGGGAGTCTGCTGCCTTTCTGCTTCGCTCGGCAGACGAGCTGGAGAACCTCATACTACAGCAGAACTGATCCGAGGGAAACACATCCAAAACACACACACATAGTGGAGGCGGTGGAACACACACACACACTGACACACACACACACAAATTTCCCTCTGTGTTTATTTTGTGAATGTCTACGTCCCTCTGTGGTTCTTTGTCCAAAATGGACAACAGAATTCCTCTCCTTTTCGTTTTTTTCCCTCTCAGATCGGAGGTCTGTTTTTCCCTCTTCATCTGCCTTCTCTTTGTAAACTTTAAAGTTTTGTAGAAAAACGGATCCGGGGAGCAACGACCTCCTCCCCTGCCGCTCCAAAACAATCACCACAGCCTCAGTGAATCACTTGTACCTGAGGAGGAGAGCACTTGGACTGGAGATGTCTTTTTCTGTCCTTTCTGAAATCACCTCACAATCAGCACTGCACTCTGAAGGAGTGTGGAGGAGAGGAGTGGACTGGGAGAAGACTGAAGAAGACGGACTGCTGCTGTGGTTTGTTAAAAAAGAAAAAAAAAGAAAAGAAAAAAAAGACTGACTATCCTCAATGGAGGAAAAGTGAATTTTGAGTTTTGTTGAAGCCACAGTGAGAGAAGGATTGAATGACAGGTGTCTCTGACATGACTGTCTCCTGATCGTAAGGATTAAAAAAAATAATAATATATAACGATGACCTGAGTTAGTACTACTGAAGACCTCCGCTCGACGACAAGTGCTTTTCATTTGTCTGGAGGTTTCACTTTGATTTCCTGGGGTTCCAGTGAGTGTTTCTTATTTTTTTCTCTCACTTTTTTTGGGGTTTTTTTGGACTTCTCCCAAGTGACTACAAGAAAGCAGCGGTTTGACTCGTCTTGGAAGATAGCTCCAGTGACGGAGAACGTTGCGAGTCCATGGACAAACACTGGAAAATAAATTTGAAAAAAAAAAAAAAATTTTGTTTAAAAAAAATCTTTCTGTGCTCGCTTGTAAATACGCTCTCTGTGTCCTACAGCACTTTTCCCTCACCTGAAAATGTCCCCCCCAAAAAAACTCACCTCCCCCTCCGCCCTCACCCCCTTTGCCCAGGGAGCAACTTGCTACTTATGCATCTAAGACGCCATGTTGACCGACAGAAAATACCTCAGACAAGGCCTGCCAACTTCAATTTCAAACACACACCATACAGAGAATAAGTGAACGGTAACATTCCCTACAGAAGCCAGTTCACTTCTATTTTACCACCTGAGGTCTTCAGGGTGTCTGTTTGTTTTGGCGAATGAATCCAACGACACTTGAGACGAAGGACCTGTTAAATGTTAAAAACCATGATGCATTTCAAAAACACGTTCGAAAAACACTGAAAACTTTTCTTTCATCCGTGCAGGTTCGTTTGTTTGTTTGTTTGTTTGCTGCTGTAAATAATCAGTTCATCTTGGACACTTGAGAAGAACCGGAGCTGAAGTTGAAAGAAGTGTATTTCTCAGAGTGGATTCATGGGTGTGAGTGTATTGGAGTGTGTGTGTCTGATTAGGGATGGTCTGTAAATGGAAACTTTACCTCTCGGTTCTACTTTTTACAAATGTAGATGTAATGCCAACGAAACCTCAGCATCACTCTTGGACCCTAACTTCCCCTTCCTCCTCCTCCTCCTCCTCTTCTCCTTCTTTTCTCCTTTGGACCTATCTCTAAACTTCTCCATCATGGACCTAAACCTTTTCTTTTTCTTTCTCCTCTTCCTGGTACGGTGAGGCGTCGGAGGAAAAGGATGGCGTTGTCTTACTGTGTTTGTATGTTAAACTCTGAGATGGCCATTACTGTTGTTGTTAGTATGATTAATATTATTGTTATATTGATGAACTTTCATGATACTGCTGCTATACAGAAACCGGACCTTCTGCCATAGACCTGAAACCTCAACACAGGTGGGCGTTAGCTCACCGCAGTGCCCCATTAAAACCCGACTGACTGACTGACCGACCTCCCGCAGCTGCGGCTGAAAACAAAGCAAAAACCACTCAGTAGGACTTCTAACTTAGCTGATACAGTATCTCTGCTCTCAGACTTCTAACTGATACAGTATCTCTGCTCTCAGAATGGTCGGCTGGTGATTTAGTTGATTTTCTGTTGGACAGGACGTATTTATTGTGGGTTAGTGACTCTATAACTGTGAACTCTCTTTGTTTTTAAAAAGTTCCTAGTCTATGTTTTTATCCCTAAAGAGGACGTAGGGTAGGTTTGGTTTGCAAGTTCATCACAGCACTTCATAGTAGGCTAACGAGTGAGAAGGCGAGGTGATGTTTCAGTGGTGAAGCTAGAGATGACAATAGCTTAGTAGTCAGGAAACAGAGAGCAGAGCTCATAACGCCTGAAGAATGAAGGGATTCGAGATGAACCAGTCGAAGTTTTTTTCAAGCCCACAAAAGTTCAAAAATGTCATTCCATTGCTTCTTGTTTAGCCACTAGCGTGTCAGATTAGCTAACAACTTTGGGAAAGCAGCTGCCCTGGCTTTACTTTTCCTCACACTTAGATGATAACAATCATTGACCTCAAAAGGTAATGGTAGATGCCTTCAGACAAAGCTCGGCCAACTGATTTTCCATTAAATGCTTAGCTAAGCTAACGGCTGTAGCTCCACATTACTGTACAGACTGCTGTGTGGCTAGTTGTCCTTTCCAACTGCATATATATGTGAAAGAAATCAATAGAACCAGTTAAAGTGTATTCTTTTAGAGCTGTGACAGCAGCACCAGTTGTTAGGTCCTAGCATTGATGGCTAAAATTAGTGTTATCTACCGATGGAACAGCTGGTAGATACATTTTACAAAGTATATAAAATCTGAAAATACTTTCACTCCTGATAATTTCTTCTGAGCTTTTGTTTTTTTGAAATAACGAACAAAGAGGCTAATTTGGCTAGCATCTTCTTGGAGGACATCCTGTGTGAACTGTGCGTCATCTTTTCTGTTGTGGCTCTGTTTTTTTGCTCCTGTTTTGCACACTGAGCGAAGCAACAGTCATCTGCGTACGTATGCATTTTCCCCAAACGGGACCTCAGTTTCTCTGGACTTGCACTGAAGAGGATGGAGAGATGTTTCTTTTTTTTATTATTGTTATTATTATTCAATGCAGTTGATAATCATAACATTGACTGGTCTTTACTTGCTTTGTTTTAGTAACAGTTTACTCAATTGGTAAAATGTCAAGGACAAATGTGGCCACAGAGCAGGGAACGGAGAAAGGACAGCTGTTCATACGTGTTGACCACATCGATGTCCAAAATCAGCACCACACAAGTCAAGTGTTGATGTTGTCAATTGTTGAATTCCCTTTTTGGAAACCAAACGTTTTCTCCTGATCCTTAGAAGACAGAAATTAGTGGAATATGCAAAAATGAAAAAAAAAAAAAAAGATATAATGTTGACGTCACAGCTGAGTTGAGTTCCTAATCCTTTTACTAAGCGGGAAAAAAATCTCACATTTGTACAAATTTCATTTGATGTTGTGACATGTGCTGAGGTACAATCACTTTTACGCCTCTGGTGATGAGACATCTTGTTTCGTGTCGTCAACTTGTCCACCCTATATTTGTGAATGTGATATCTCAGGAACATTGTGAGAGTATGTCCTCAGATTTGGTTTCAAAGGCTCATTCAGTCCTAACAGATATGTCAAAGGTCGAAGGTCAAATGTCACTGTGACTTCAAGTCATTGTTTTTGTTTTTGTTTTTGTTCACCAAATTTTCTGCTCCAATCACAACATTCTCTCTCGCTCTCTCGTCCTGTTTGTTAACTGTGTTTGAAAACTGCCACTGCTTCTGCTGAGTCGGCCTCATCGAATGTTTGGTGAAGATTCAGCACATTTCGGAGGCTCTCATTGGTCCACACGAGCTCAGTGCAGGTGTTCAGAAACCTATAAATCAATAGTTGCTTGTGGAAACTCACTCTGAGCTCGATCTAAATCACATCAGCGGCTCTCGTGTTGTTTTGACTGTTAGCTTCTGTTAACTCCTTAGGTCCACGCGTGTCTTTAGTTCTTGCTGTCTTTCAATGACAAACGGGACATTGGTTTTTACCTCCTTCAGATGTGACTGAAGAACATTCCAGTAACTGTGAAAAAAATATCTTGAGAAAAAAGAATTGATTTGAAGATGTGAAGGAAATCCAACCATCAGACATGATCGTCATGGTAATGGCTCTGTAATGAGTTTGCAATTTATTTATTTCACTGATGTGAATTTTAGTCCATTTTCTTTCGCTCTAATTTAAATAAGTCTTTCTTTGGCCGTATTGATCTTTGACTCGGAACAAATCGTCTAATCAAACAAGAGACGGTCCCATGAATATTTATTTTTTGCCAACAAATTATTGGCTTTTGTATAAAAGAAATGGCAAACACAGCAGATGGCCAAAATTCATTGTTATGGTTAAAAGTTCCGCCTCCTGCTGGTCAAAGTGGGCACATCAGTAATATCCTCTGGGCTCTCTTACTGATTGTTTTCACGCCCTCTGTTGGTCAAGGTTAGGATTTCTCAGCCCAGGTCAGTTTACCTCAGTTAGACAGCCAGAGAGCAGATAAAAAAAATAGAAATGACAACAACTGTTTAAAAAAAGTTTTTAAAAAATAGGCAAATGACAATCTTGTTTAATTTGCTCTCTGTCTGGCTTTGTCCCGTCTGTCTGTTGTGTACAGTAGAACAGGGGATAATCTGAGTGTTTGTTTTGGTCACACAGAGTTCACACTCCTTCGACATTTCTATTTCTATCTATTTTTTTTATATCATTATTATTATTAACAATGTTCATATTCTTTTTTATTGTTATTTTATATATATTTTGTATTTGCAAGTCAAGCAGTTTTTCCGGATCAAAGTTTTTTTTTTGTAAAATATTCCAAAAGTCGATAACTACACATTCCATACTCGTAAGTAAACGAACGCACGGTCGACCAGAGCAGCCTCACAGTTCAGTTTCACTCAGTTTACTGACTGGTTTACTATTTTTCTCAGTGTTTTTTTTTCACTTGGATTCTAGGAGCCTTTATGAAACCCTTTTTTTTTTCAAAATTATGAGAGTTAAGTGATGTTGGACTGAGAATAGACAAAGCTTTAATTTTGTTTTAATTACAGCATGGCTTCGGTTTGGTTTAGTGTTAGTTGGTACACAGTGCTGCTGAGACGCCCAGTATTCACTTGTATTTACTTTACCATGCTGCAGCGTCCTACAGCCTGTCAGTGAAGGTGCTGCTGCTCTGGTCCCTGCTGGTGATCACAGCAGAGTTGGTTCCACTCTGGTCAGATGTGATGCTCAAACTCACACAGATGTACAGGAAGGTAAAGATTGAGGGAAGAAAGAAAAAGGTGGAGTTTTTTTTATTATTATGATAGTTTTTCTATCAAAACAGATGTACAGCTTTGAAGCAGCTCTCTGAGCCATTTTATTTTACTGGTTTATACGTTCCAGTCTGGAGGTGCTTTAGATTCTGTTTGAATTTCAGTCATATACTGTATATTTTTTCTATTTTTATTTTTTATTTTCATGTCATCAGCTGACTTTGGAACAGACTCACCAGTGTCTTGATTTTCTCTGCTGACGCTTTGTAATTTCTCCCAGTTAGAATCCTGTGCTCAGTTTATGGTTTGACTCAGTGGAAATGTGATGTTTACATGTACAGATGTTTTTCTCCTGGTTTTCCGTCCCCTCTCATCTCTCTGTCTCCCTCACCTCCCTGATTTGACTTTGTCCGACTCCTGACTCACACACTGAGGGGAAATGGGACGTGGTCTGAGAACAATTATTATTATTAACATTTCACACACACACACACGTCTGTCGCATAAAGGGATACGTTGACATTTTTAATTTCAGCCATTAGGGGGGGTGTTTTTTCCACCTGGATTATAAATGTAAATCAGTGAAGTGCTTCAGATGAACAAAGTTAAACCTCAGCTGGGTGAATACAGGTGGAGGATGAAAACAATGGGTCCCTGTAGGAACCAGGTTGGTTTTTTTGGTTGTTTTTTCTTTGGAAGGGAGTCAGAACATTTCACAGCTCTGGGGGGAGGAGTGGGGGGTACAAAAACAACAACAACAACAACAACAACACATAAATCACAGCGGGGCCACAGAACCCCTCCACTGGTTTGCCCAGGATCCAGTGGAGATGATTCCTCAGTGAATGATAAGCCATTACAGACCCTGTGTGTGGGGTCTCTTAGTCTATTAGTATATTTAGCAAAACTTTAAAACTTCAGAAGACAAAAGTCAACCTCAGGAAAAAAAGTGGACATCACTTTTGTAAAAAAAAAAAGAAGAAAAAAACACTTGGAACTGAAGGCCCATTTCCCTCTCTTTGATACCATATAAATTATATCAAAAACTCTTTTTATATTTATTGTGTTTTTTGTTATTATAAAACAGTGGATTCCTTTTTTTTCTCCAGTACCTGTGGCTCATTTTTTTTCTTTAGAAAAGTGTTATTAATGTATGTGACGCATCTCCGATGAATGACGAAAAAAAAAGACATTTGAAAATAAATGGGCTTTTTTTTTTCTTTGATTTTTTTATTTTATTTTTGTCGACGTTGTTGGAGCGGCGACGGCGATTTTAGTTTAGCTGAAAAACAACGACAACATATCACTGGAACCATGACGAAGAAACCAATGATGAAAACAAAAAAAAAGAGCTTTCTTTGGTGTGATGTCACTGCTACGGCTGAAATGTTTCTGGACTTGAAAAAAAATTGTGAAGATTTGTTTTGTTTGTTTTGGATTACGTTTGTTTCCCCTCGCCCCCAGCTGTACGTCACAAAGCTAAATATACTAATAAAACGTGTGCTATCAAACAGGACGTCTCTTCATTAGACACCACGCTGTAAAACTATCAACAAACCGATGCAAACAACCGATTCTGACCAATGATTTCAGGAGAATATTTTTGAAAGTGTTTTCAAAAACTGAAGACTAAACGAAAGGTCAATCTAAAATATTGAAAAGAAACTCAAGAAAGTCCAAATGTAGATAACTCCTAACCTCTGTAACTTTAGTTTTTAGGTGAAAACGTTTTAAATACAGAATTAGAATTTGACCAAATTTAAACCACAGTTTCTTTCCACCCTGTGGTCTAAGTTTGTTCACGAGCTCCAATTAGTTCCAGCCTGTAGTTTCCTGCAGACGATGAAACACAGGTGGAGACGGTTGTGTTAATGTGGAGAAAAGAAAAGAAACTAAAAATATCAGCATGCATCAGCGATTTTCACCGAGACAAACCGGGGGTCATCCCCTCGACCTTTACTCCAACCTGGACCGGTTTAAATATACAGTATGCACAACGTCAACCATTACGCTCTCTCTCACACTCACACACACACACACTCTCTCTCCCTTTCACTCTCTCTTTCTCTCTCCCTCCCTTCTCCCAGTGCGCAGATGTGTGAGCAGCAGCGGAGGGCTGACTGCTGAGCGCCAAACCCAAACTTTTTACGCACAGCGCTGCCTCCTCTCCCTCACCCCTCACTCTCCCTGCCTCTCCTCCTCCCGAGCGGCGGCTGCAACGTTCGCCTCACTCACCCCAGGTGTCGGTTGATTCGGGGTCGATCCTTTTGTCCATGCACAGACTTGGACTGACTCAATTCCTCGTTTCCGCATTCTCAGAGCCGCGGTGCGCACTGCAGACTCGGAGGACGGCTCCTCGGTGTGAACAGACAAACCGGTTTCTCCTGCTCACCTGCTCCACTCCTGCTGGCGCTGCGTTATGTTTTTGTCCACAGCAGCAGAGAGAAGACGGAACCGGAGCAGTGACCGGCTGCGGCTCTCAGGCTTCACGAGGCCGTTTTCGGCAGACTGAGAAAGCCTGGAGGCGCCGCTTCTCTTCTCTCTTCCAGTCGAACCTGCCGCCGCCGCCGCGCTCCTTAATGAGCCGGGATGGAGAACTGCTGTCGCTCGTGTATGCCGTGTTGCAGCCGGCTCTGGAACTGGATCTGGCCAGAATTCCGCTACCCAAACGTCTCGAATCACAACCATGTCATTGCCAACCCGGCGGCTCAAACGACCGAGATCCGCACCGTGTCCGGCGACATCCGCGTCCCTTCGCCCAAGAAGCGGCAGGTGCAGCTGTACGCGGCGCTCTTCGACTTCGAGGCCCGCAGCGACGACGAGCTGACGGTGAGGGAAGGGGACAAACTGTCGGTGATCGAGAAGCGAGGGGAGTACGTGCTGGCCAAGAAGCTGACCGGCTCTCTGGAGTCCGGGCTCATCCCCGCCAACTACGTGGCTCTGCTGCAGGACGAGTTCGCCAAACACAAGTGAGTCACTTCTGTTCTCCTGTCCCACTGATCCACTGATCCACTGACACGGCAGTCCACTGATACAACTTTAATGTGGACTTCAGTCTCCTCTCTCACACAGTCATGGTCGGGTTCGAAGGTTCTGGAACATTTGGAAACAAAACACGTCCAAACACTGACCTCCAGAGCCAGAAACTGAATTAAAATGTGTTTTTTTTTTGGAAATGTATTTCTGGTTTAAAAACCAGAGAATTTATCATACCAGTGTGACACTGTACATTTTCTCTCAACTAATTAATTCATTAATAACCCAAAGACAAACGTCTGTGTGATTTAGTGTAAATGTGATGATCCATCAGTGACGTCAGAGTTCTTACATCCTCTGGAACACTGGGTCATTAACTGGGGTTTGTTTTTTCAAGAGTCATGAAAATGTTTATTATTATTATTATTATTATTATTATAACCCAGTGTTTAGGTATACGAGTGATGTCAGAAATGTGGGCCACCAAATGTGGGCCACACAGCATTATTGCCACAGTGTGGGATGTAGAACAATAGGCCACATTTTTTTCCTTCAGACTCTTCAGAGGTCAGATGATACTTGACTACACAGATGTGTGTTTACAGAACTATTATCAGTCAATGTCACTCATGTGGGACTGAAACTTTACTTGACTTGGACGAGAGCAGCAGTGCTCGACACTATTTTTGATTTTTTTTTTAACTGACCTGAAACCACGGCAACTTAATTCAAACCTGTATTCAGTGACTTTGTCGATGACTAAAAACCTCGCAGACTCAACCAAGACTTGTGACTTGTTCGTAGACTTTAAAATCTAAAGCCTGGTCTCGGACTTGACTCAAACCAGACTCAAACTTACATTTGAAGACTCGACAACAGTCAGTTAATACCTTCAGACACTGACACGACTTGTAGTCATGAGTTACAAAAACATTTATCACCGACACGATGAAGGGACCGTGCTAGATTCTATGGTTTACTTTGCCCTCCCTCCCTTAGCATCCGACCTTTAGACCGAAAAGTCCAGAGCTTCTCACGCTGACAGGTGTAGCGTCCATATTTATTTTTATAAACGCTGTGTGACGCCGGTCGTGTCAAGGCTGCAGATCGCTCCCAAACTAAGTCTGATGTCAAAATACTATAAAGAACCCGATAACATATATATAACGTATATTTCTATCTGTACAAACCGCTGTATGAGTTGCTGCCACCTAGTGACTGGAGGCTTGTTATCATTACAGCGGTAATACATTTATGCCCATTTTAAGATATTTTCTCCCCGCCCCCCCCCCCCGCACCAGTATTTGAGAAGCACTGGTCTAATGGCTGTGTTCAGCTCCATGTACTGAGTGATTTCACAGATCTGGGCAAACGATGAATTATAATATATTTCTGAGGCCAATATATGACTTCACGTAGAGTGTTGGGTTTTCCACTGCTCCATATGTTGAGGCAGACATAACAGAGAGCAGCTCTGGAGGCCACCACAGGTTCTCCTCCAGAACAATGTTCTAAGGCCAGAACAACCACTTGCTCCTGCTGCTGCTGCTGCTGCTGCTGCTGCTTAAGCAGGATGGATCTAAATGTAGCTCGGAGCCTTCATGTGGTCGATGCTCTGCAGCTGCAGGTCCTCCATTATTCATTCAACCACAGGGAACAATCCTCATGTTTCAGCAGACCTCTCTCTCTCTCTCTCTCTCTCTCTCTCTCCCTCCCTCTCCCCCACTCTCTCTCTCTGTAAGGTTGACTTCAATGTCTCCTTTCACTTTGCTGAGTCCTCATGTCCCACTGTCAGTCAGACTCAGTGCTGACAGCAGAGATGAGAGGAGCTGCCTGACAACAGTGACATCACTGACGTTACGGGGAATTTTGGAACCAGAACATAAAAAGTACCTAAAACATTTTGGACTGAAATCTTCGCGGCGGTGTTTGAAGAAACTATCGGCCTGATGACTTGAATCACATTCCTAAATGACTTCCTTAAGTTTCCAGAGATAATAATAAAATTCTATCTAAATATTTCTCTTTCGGGCGTGGGTTTAGGTTTAATGCAGTGTTAAAACTGATTCAGCTATTGAGAAATGTGAAACAAAAACGATCAATTAGTCATTAATGATGAGGGGGTTTATTGAAGACAGCGGCTGCTACGTCTTGTAGGTCGTCTTGGGTCAAATCTCAGAGCGTTAGTTTGTTTGGTTTATCTACAGTGTATTGACACAACGCTAACCTTCACATGTCACACAGTATTTAGTGTCGTCTGAGTCTGACGTTAGTCTGGACCAGTCAGGTCCACCTTAATGTCCTGAAGCCGCCCCGCCCGGCTCCCAACAGACTATTGGCTGAAGGTCTTGGGTCAAATTGAATCCTTAAAAGTGGTTCATCGTAAACACGTGATTGATGGCGGTTCGTCTGGAGCTCCTGCCTTCAGCGGTGGCTCCTCTACAGACAGGTGTCTGTGCAGATGATTTCTGAAGCGGTCACTGTCATGGTCACTAACTGAGATATTTGTGCGCTGGCTTCTCTGATGAAAAGTCAGTGGTTATTGACCTAATGTTGAGAGTTTGAAAATTACAACCTCGCAAAAGTCTCAAATAACATGTACTCGGAAAGTCTGTGTTTTGTTTGTCCTTTAATCTTTAGATTTATTAGAAATGTGTTGGGTCTGTATTTTTTTAATCCTAAAAAGAGAATATAAAGCCAAAAATACCTCAA